ACATTAAAAAAAGGTCACAAGGTCTCCTTAAGAAGAATCTTCTAAAGTGTTTGTTGACAGATAGTTAAGTAATTAGTGGAGGGAGAAACTCGAAACTAAAATGTTCTAAGCCATAACTGCTGGCTAAGTGTCAACCAAAAGTTAAGGTAAAGCAAATGTGACATGATTGTGATTTAAAAAAATAAGATGCCACTTTCTCAATTTTGAACATTCCCTTTGCTGGACAGGCAGCTGGAATGCAGGGACCTTAGCAGCCCCAAACCTCCACCGTGTCTGTACCATCAGTCTTCCTCTCCTAATAGCCTCTCATGATGGACCCAGAGCATTCCTTTTTGTCTTTTTCTTGTTTCATTCCTGGAAATGGTATAATAAATATGTTCCATTTGTCTCCAAATGGAGCTGTCAACATCCCTTCTTCTCCCCAAAGCCCAGACACAAAAGTGAAAATGTGTCTGGGTGAAGAGTTAAATTATTAGCATTGTCCCTGGCAGGTTCCCTCCCAGTTCTCAGGTCTCCGCTTCCCAGCTACCCCATTGTTTGCCTGCAGGGTGGGGCTGGCGTTTCTCAAGTTGACTCACTGTCAGAAATGGGAGTCCTGCCTGTGCCCTCCCCTCCCTGATGGAGTCACAGGACGTGCCTGCTCTCAGGTGCCCACTCCCTAAAGCAGGGAGATGCGCAGCCGGGCATCCTGGTTTCAGGGCAGCGTGGTCAAAGAAGATGAGAGAGCAGAAGCAGAAGTCAAGATTGGCCAGGCGACAGGCTGACGGCTCGGCTGGGGCGGTGGGAGTGGGTTCAGGGACCCCAGAGTGGCCGTTCCTCATAGCTCCTCAGGGCCCGCCTCATCTGGAGAGGCAGTTGACGTGGGTTGATTTGAGGGGTGCCGGGAAGTCTCCCTTCCTCCTTTGGAAGCATAAACCACTGCCCCAGCCCATGAGGGTCAGGGTATCTGGAAATCAGCTCGCAACGATTTAAGAGACCGGAGTCCTCCCACCCTTCTAGATTCCAGGTCCAACCACCATCAAAGCCACAGTTTTCCCATCTATAAAACGTATAACACAATTAGCTTTCTTCATAGAGTATTGTGAAAACTGTATATGGAGGTGCTTGATTAGGTGTAATGACTAATAAAAATGCACCTGTACCTGGCAGTGTGAGGAGAGGGATCGGTTAGTGTCTCTTAGAGAAAGGAGGGACGACAGATTTGGTGGGAAGGACGGCAGCTGGGTTCCAGGGAGGGAAGTGGGAGGAAGATGGGGACAAGGAAGAGGTAGAGACCTGCAGACCCAGCTTCCTAATTAGTCATCAATGTAGCCTCTGCTAAGCAGCTGCCCAGTGTTTTGGTCATTTTGGTCCCTTCAGCTGTCTGAGAACAGCTGTGAATTCAGGAGACCTGTGATCCAGCCCTGGCTTTGACATCAGCCCTGTGTGACCTTGGACAAAGCATGGTCTCATTCCAAGTCTCGGTCTCCCTCTCTATAAAATGGGGATAAATGGCCGACAGGGGCTTGAGTGCCAAGGTGAACGGTGTGATGTGCTGAATGCACATACGGCTGATTGAGTCTTGGATGCCAGTGATCTAGCACACGGGACCCCTCCAAGGACAGCCAAGTGCAGGTCACTATCCCAGCCTCCACTGCACTATCCTCTGAGAGGACAGTTGTGTGATAAGCCATGTTTTCTCATGAGACAGAATTCTTCAACACTAAACAGGAACTTTCTGTTGCTAAAGTAAGAGGCCAGTACTCAGTCTGGGAATAATAAGGACTAAAGCTCATTCCAGAGAACCCTCATGGGTGACTGAGACACGAGGGAGCTGCCCATCCATTCACAAGCAGCACACACGCACGGGCACCTTCTCGGTGCTGGGTACGTGGGCATGCCTTGCTTGTGCCCGGCCCGATCTGTCTTCCCGCACATTTCCCTGGGGGAGAGTTTGGTCGGGAAGAGCACAGAGGAGTGGGAGGGCGGGAGTGAAGGGTACAGGTGGAGAGGGTATCCCCCGTGGAGATGAAGTGCAGAACCCCATAGTGTCACATTCTTCACACTGATAAGTTCAGGAGGATGAGGAGGAGAAGGCCTGGCCTGGAGGGGAAAATTAAGAGACTGATTAACTTTTAAGTGAGGCTGACCCTGAAAAAGGAGCAGCATTCTGTCTACATGTGACGGAAGGCTCAGAGAGGGTTGTTAGTCACGGTCCCCACCCAGAGACAGTCACCGGTCTACCGCGAGGATGCTGGCTGCTGTGATGCAGTGGAAATGAGCCCTGGGCCAGGGCCCCCACCCAGCCCCACCCCTACCAGCTGCATGTTGTTGAGCAGGTCATTTAACTTCTTTGGGTCTGCTTTTTTAGACTGTAAAATTGGATTTACACTATGCAACAGAATTGTCATGAGGACTAAATGAGGCGAGGAGTTTGAAAAATACTTTGGGAGGTACTTTGAGGTACTCCTATTATTTCTCAGGCAGTCTCACACTTCGCTCTGACAGTGGCAGAAATGAGCATCCCGGGCAGGGTCCTGAGGTTTGGGGCCATGGGCTGAAGTTGGATCAGCCCCCGGAGCAGCCCCGCCTGTCCCCATCCCAGGGCCTGGGAAGCCACGGTGAGGACCAGGTCTCCATCTTCCCATCCGCACAGGGCCCTGTGGAGAGTGGTCAGGTGTAGCAAATGAAAATAGAGCCTCCCCACCTAGATTTGAATTTCGGATAAATAAAAAGTAATTTTCTAGTATAAGTATGTCTCATGCAATATTTGGGACATGTTTGATGTTTAAAAATTCTGTCATTTATCTGAAAGTCAAATTTAACTGGGTGTCCTATATATTAGGTGGCAGGCCTACCACAGAGACTAGATCCCATCCCGCCCTCTCTGACTGCCGCGAGTGGTGCCAGCATGTGTGGGGGCTCCGTTCACCCTTGTCTCCTGCTCACACTCCAGGGGAGCCTCAGAGAACACTGTGGGACTGCCCCCTCCCCCCCGGAAGAGGACACACACTGGGCACTTATACCGGGGAAGGGGCCAGGGTGGGGGGATGGCTTCTGTGAGTCTGGGTCCTTCGAATCATCCAAATCTGAGTTCGAATCCATCTCTGCTATTTACCACCTACGTGATCTTTTTCAGCCTCACTGTTCTCATCTGCAAAATGGTAACAATGACACTTGCTTTAGGGGGGCTATAAAGATAAAGTGAAACGGGCATGAAGGGCGGTATCAATGTTAGACACACAGCGAGTGTTCAATAAATGGCAGCGATTAGCAGCAAAGGCAATGTTCATGTTTTTGTCAGAATTGCCCCAAGCCCCATTTCCCCTGCACTTCATCCTCCTTCTTCAACGTTTCTTAGAACTCTCAGCCTGAAAATAGCTCCTTAGGTTTGTTCCATTTTAAAAAGGTCTTGAACCCTTGAGTTTGAGCAAACACCCTCAGTGGGTGAAATCAGCTCAGGTACAGGGACTCAGTGCTGGAAATATCTAGTGGGTGGTTTTCATCAAAACAGGCCAGTAAAGCAAGTCTCTGGAGGAAGTGCAGGTGGGAGAAGTGGGTGAGGAATTCCCTGGCAGGTGGTTATCAGGACCACGCCAAGTGCCCGGGGGCAGGTTGGGGGCCCTTATAAAGAAGGTTCCAGAAGTGGCTGCCCATGGACCTGTGCTCAGCCCGCTCTCCTGGGGTCCAGCGAGCTACCTGTGGTAAGTGGGAACACGTCCATTCTGGGATCTGCCGGGCTCATTCCTTCTCCTCTAACCGCCCTGAGCCGCTAGGTCAAGCTCCTCTCTTGTCCTTGGGTAATCGGGGAAGTGACGTAAGCCTCCCGACAAGTATGGAAATGTCACACTAATTGTTACCTAGGAAGTTCGATCTCCATTACACACCATTGCTGAGCATGACTTATTTCCTGATTCTGAGTTTGACTCCCCAGCAAGAGGATTTTTCTCATCAAAGGGAAGATATGTAGAGCTCCAACATTTTGTAGCAATTCTGAGCCCCCTGTAAAGCTTTCTCTTGCCCTATTCTGCTTTTGGGCCCTACCAGCAAGCTTTCACCTTTGCATTTAGGTTTCCAGAAGCAGGTGTATTGAATATGTATTCTACACTACGCTGTTCCCATGCCCCACTATGCTGGTCGCCACCTCTCCACACTGAGGCCTGTACTTCCCACTTGTAATCACTAACTTAGAAGATGAGAAAGGCCAGAGACATCAGAGCTGGGGAGGCCTCAGAGACCTTCCAGACCAGCAACCTCCAAATAAATCCAGAGAAGGCAGATTGCCCAGATGTGTGCCTGGCTAGCAAGGGGCAGGTTTGGACCTAGAACCTATGCCTGAGGGTTCTTGACCAGCGCTCTCTCCTTTAAGCCAGGCTGTCCTTTGGTTCCTTTGCCTCCCAGTTCTTCATGGGGGCGCTGGGACCACTCGCCTACAGCCTCGTTGATAACTTGCCTGAGCATCCCGCAGGGATGGAGTCAGGGTGGAGCGGGGATTCGAGCTCAGACCTCTGCATTCCTGGTGCACCCTTTCTCCAGCCCCATCACCGACACACCTCGACACTTCCCTCCAGGACAGAGACTGCCTTGTCCTCTTCCTCATGCCCTCCAGCCATTATCCAAGGTAGCCAGTTGACATTGCCCAGATCTATCAGCTAAGATTGCATGCTTTGACCTTGTAAAAATATCTAGGCTACCTTTCTATCCTCAACTCAACACTCCATCTTATTTCCTGGTAAAGCCAAGAAATAAATCATATATTCAGGTAAGTCAAGTGGTGATGGGAGGATGAAGGAATATAGGAAATCCAAACAGCATAGAAGAGTGAAGAAAGAGAAAGAGAAAGATCACAATGGGTGTGTGTGAATTAGTCCATTAATCAATTTGAGGCTGCTAATCCCGTACCATGTCTTTAGCTGTTGGAGGAAATTATTCCTCTAGGAGTCAGGATGGAGGAGAGGTGGGGGAGCCCTTCTCATGGTGCCCGTATGCAGTTTCCTTCAGGCCCACCTGATCCTGGAGCAATGTCTTCCCAGCAGCAGCAGCAGCAGTGCCCACCCCCGAAGGCCCAGCAGCAGCAGGTGAAGCAGCCCTGTCAGCCACCCCCAGTCAAATGCCAAGAGACGTGTGTACCCAAAACCAAGGATCCATGTGCGCCCCAGGCCAAGAAGCAATGCCCACCCAAGGGCACAGCCATTCCAGCCCAGCAGAAGTGTCCCTCAGCCCAGCAAGCCCCCAAGAGTAAACAGAAGTGAGGAAGGACTGGAGATCACCACCTGTCTGCCATCCCGGCTGCCACATGGATGGAGCCTTCTCTTCTTCCTGCTCCTCTTTCCCCCAGCTCCAGGATCCACCTCCCTCTCCCCCTTCCTCCTGCTCAGGGTGCAATGAAGCTTTGTAAGGATCTCTTCCCATCGAAGTCCCCATCACACACACTGCCTGGGCCCCAATGCTTCTTCTATACCCGACCCTGACACTCTCCCAAGTAGGAATAAGAGTGACCTCATCCTTTCCAATCTCTGGCCTAGCCATGACTAAGGCCTCTCCATGTCCCAAAGCAAAGAAAGTATCTAGACTTCCTCTGGGGTGCCACCCTGATGAGTGGGGACACCAGAGGCCAGTGCACAGCTTCTGCATCATTCCCTTCCCCAAAGCCCCTCTGTGGGCTTCTCTCCTATTTCCTCCACTAATAAATTTGTGATTCATGTAATACAGTTATCTGTTTCTTGGACTGATTGCCCCTGCCCACTTTCAGCACCATTCTGTGATCCATTCCTCAGTTCGGAGGGAATATTTTGATAAGCAAGTGTGCAAGTGCACATGTGCCCAGGAGTTCAGGGAGTCCCCTTACACTCTGGTAACTACTAATGGGGGAAGGTCAGGTCCCGGTAAAGGTACACAAATGACTGGAGTGCTACAAAACACTTCTGCAAACATGTCCAAGTGACTTTTTCATGTATTTGTGTGTTTATTGTTCATTCATTTATTCATCAACTCACCCTCATTCTCTTACTTATCTATTCACTCATTTAGTACTTAGCAAGTTCTAGTATGAGCTTAGTTTTCTATTCTGCTGTGTTGGTTTTCCAGAGCTATCCTGAGACAGTCTATCCTGTCTCTCAAAGTCAAAGTTGTTTTCTTAAACAGGGAAATGTTGCGTCAGGAATAGCCATGGACAGAGAGTTTGTGCAAAGTACACGAGGATTGGTTCTGTCAGTTAGTCTAACTACGTAGCTTATGAAAGAAGTCTTATCTGTACAGCAGGCGTCCTGAGCTTCCTAACTCTTGTGTGAGACTGGCTGCCTGTGTCAGAAAGAGGCAGCAAACCTCTCACATACGAAGAGAGATTGAGTCTTTGAAGGAGAGCTCTAGGTGGGAAGGAGCCAATAAGCAAAGCCAGATTTTCTCCTCCCGAGATTTATTCTTCTCTTGGGATTTACTCCCTGAATTCTAATCGCCACCATAGGCAATGCCAATAATAAATTGCTTTCTCATTCAATACACTGAAATACACTTGAAATACATTTTAAAAGAAACTAATAACCACCTTGTCTATTTTCCTTTAAAATCAAAATCTGCAGCTGATATTTCCAAGTAGTAATTACTTAAAACTTAGTGGGTACAGACATTAACCAGGAAAGTCAAAGTATTTGTAAAAACAATTAAGATTCAGGGGGAATGCTTATAACCCTAAGGATTCTTTGACGGCCTTTCTGTGCCTCAAGCCCTGTATCCTGAAATAACTCCCCTTCATCAAGTAGAAAGGCCAGTCCGACTTAGCAGCCGCCTTCCTGGCTGCCATTCATCCAAGTCCTAGCCAGTTCCTTGGTCACCCTGTTTTTCAATATCACTTCCATGTCCCCCAGGAAAGCCCTGACAAGGGCTCTCACAGACTTTTGGGTTCCAGGGATGACAGATTTGCATAGCCTTCAGCTAATTGGCCAGACAGGGGTGATTGAAATAATGCATACCTCTGCTGCAGTCTGTGTCTCAGGTTGCTAACTCATTGGGGAAGGGGAGATGCCCCTGCCTTCCACACCAGTGGCCAAGGACAAAGTCCCATCTCTCTGTGGATATGTGATGACCTATTCCCCTCATAAAAAATACTTTTTTAATGTAACTCCACCTTCAGAGGTTCACAGAGCAACATTGACTTATATCAAATGCCATCCACATATGCGCTGAGAGGACACCTCTTGTTCATTCCTGGTTCCCCTTCGCATTAAGTAAGATAATGTCAGAACACAAAGGGACATCATGTCTCACTTGGTTCAACTTCTTAACTGACTAAAGAGAAAACTTGGCAGGGAGCAGTGGCTCATACCTGTAATCCTAGCACTCTGGGAGGCCAAGGTGGGTGGATTGCTCGAGGTCAGGAGTTCGAAACCAGCCTGAGCAAGAGCGAGACCCCGTCTCTACTATAAATAGAAAGAAATTAATTGGCCAACTAATATAGAGAGAAAAAATTAGCTGGGCATGGTGGCGCATGCCTGTAGTCCCAGCTACTCGGGAGGCTGAGGCAGCAGGATCGCTTGAACCCAGGAGATTGAGGTTGGTGTGAGCTAGGCTGACGCCACGGCACTCACTCTAGCCTGGGCAACAAAGCAAGACTATGTCTCAAAAAGAGAGAGTGAGAAAACTTACAAGCTCTCCCACAAATCCTATACATTAAAGTATAAAAACTCATGGACTACCCCAAAATTTCCCTACAAGAACCAAAACACACCACAATCTGGCAACACCAGATAATTCACTTTGCTCCAAACATGCCATCCAATGTTGATGCCTCTGGCTTTTTATTCATGCTACTCCTTCTGTCTAGAATAGTAGTTCTTCACTTTGCTGTCTAGGGGATCCTATCAGTTTTAAAAGTTTAGCTCAAATATTTTATTGAACCTCACTTAACACTTTAGAAAGAACCAATACCTCCCATAAGCTCTCCTAACACTTTGTACAAATTATTATTATTATTATTATTTTATTAATTAAGCCTAAAATTACTTGTGTACTATAATTCACTTTTATGCATTTAATTTCCCTATTAAATTATGAGCTCTTGAAGCACAGGGATCTTGTTGATCTTATTACCCCAAAAGGCACAATGATTGGCTTTTCAGAAGCACGGGAGAAAGAACTTCTGTTTCTGAGTGGAACAGGACAGCTCGTGGCAAGCCAGCAGTCTACTGTACATCTAAGCCAAATTGGTAGATTATCTGCACACATCTGGGGACCCTATGACTCCTCCAGACAGAGAAGAACCTCAGAGAGCTGAGCCAAAAAGTGTTTGTCCTAGGATAATTTGTGAATTCCAAGCATAAAACCCAAGAATTTCCCGCTGTGGAGGACTCTTGCTGGGGGCAGAGAAATCAGGAGAATTTACGGATGCTTTGAGGGGCTTCAACCAAATGGTTGATTTTCCACTCAGAAAATATAATGAATTCTGGGGATGGTCAGGTCAGGACACTAAATACCTAAGCAACAAGTCTCTGAAAAGTAGAGTGGAGTTTGTAGGAGGTTTATGAGACAATGAATGGAGTTTGCAACCTGCCAGGGGGCAAGGCTCTGGGGGATACACCAGACAGAGGATTTAAAGCTGCAAGGTCAGGGAGAAAGTCTGATTTGTTAGAAGGAAGTCAAAACAGTGGTCATCACTGGGGAGAGTACTGACTACAAGGAGCAGTGATGGAGCTTTCTGGGATTCTGGAAAAGTCCTCAATCTTGCAGGTGGTTACATGAGTGCATATGCATACAAAAAAACACAAAGCTGATTTGTGCATTTTTCTTTTTGTTAGTTTAACCTCAACAAAAATAGAAATGCCATTAAAACAGTGTCAGTCACCTTACATAAATTTAATGAAAGATGTGACATTTATATCAAAAATATAAAATATTATTGAGAGAAAATAAAAGAGAATTAACAAATGAAGGGATGTGCCATGCTCTAAAGATGATTTGGAAGAGATATCAATGATCTTTAAATTGATCTAACATGTGCAAATTAAAAGGAAAATGTGATACCACTACATAATCCAGCATATTGGCTAAAATTAAAAAAGCACAATACCAGGTGCTGGTGAGGCTATGGATAAATAGGAACTTTTGTAAACTGCTGATGGGAATATGAATTGGACAACCATTACACAACACTAATGGGCAGTATTTTCTAAAGTTGAGCATATGCATCCCATCCCAGCAATTTCACTCGTTGTTGTATACACAATGGAAATGCACACGTATTATCGCTAAAACATATGTATATTTTTAATAGCAGTATTTGTAGTAACCTCAATTAAAAATACCCCAAATATCCACTAACAGTAGGATGGATAAATAAGTTGTGGTATTTTTATACAATGGGACACCACAAAACAATGAGATTAAACAAACTACATGGATGAAAGAAAGCAGACTTTAAAAGCACATACCATATGATTCCATTTATTTATGTTAAGTCAGAATTAAGTCAGAAGGTGAGCTTTACAGGGGTCTAGCAAAGTTTGTGCCTTTATCCGGGAGCTAATTAGACAGATATGGTCACTTTGTGAAAATTCATCAAGCTGTATGTATTTTTTGTGTGTAATATTATATTTCCAAAATTTTTTTAAAATTTTACATAAATTTAAAAAGTACTCAATGTGCCATCCTGTTTGATTTACCAAACGATTTTTTTCACTATTAATAAATCAGCTCCTTCTGCGCATACATCACCAATTTATTAACTCATCATATATTCAACTCCCTCCACAACATATCAATAAAAGTAAGACATTTCTGTTCTTCTGAGGAAAGGAGAGTATATTTTCGAAGCCTCTAAACACTGAAGTTGGGGAGGGATAGCTCACCACACCCATCTCTGCTGTTCCTCCTTCTCACCATCTCACTTGCCTAGAAAATTCTCTCCACCCCAGAAACAAAATAATGCCCCACCTGATCCAGGTTTATTATACAAACCTGGCTGGCTCAAATTCCCTGCTACCTCCTCTTCTGGCCAGGAGGCCCTCAAAGACAACGTGACCAGGACTGGGCATCTGCACTAGGGCCGTTCTGACATTCTCTTTCCTTAGCGAAAGGAGCAAGAGCTCTGCAGTCAGACTGAACGGAGCTGAAGCCCAGCTGTCCCATTTCCTAGCTGTGTGATCGCATCCAGTCATATGTGAAAGGCTGCAATGGTTTGATTACAGTTATTTGTATCATTTTTGTGAGGATTGGCAATAATATATAGAAGGTGGCCGGATATAGTATATGTTTACTAAAT